ATACTTTAGTTTTTGATGCCTTATTATTTAAGTTTTATCAAACTTTGATTGTCAACAGTGTCCTACATGTGCCCCGTGCTTTGTTCCTATTTATTGGGCTCATTTGTACTCTGACAGCCATGTCAACCTGTCTGATACAAAGTGTTGACTCATCAGACATGGCTTGGCTTGCAAAGTCGCAATAAAAGGTAGTAGTGACGGATGTGGGGTTTGAACCCACAACCCTCTTAACTTCAAATCATGCTATTTGTCACTACAAATAGATGGCAATTACTGTGTAGCTTTTGGAGATTGTATTATCAGTTAAAGCATTATTTTGAAAAATAAATTATATAAATAAAATAGAGTTTTACTTTCTTACATTAAATATTTTTCCATAATACTTTATTTTTTGATGCTTTATTATTTAAGTTTTATCGAACTTTGAACTTTTATGTAACTAATGTATTATATAAATAAATACTTGCACTGTTGTGACTGGGCTGTACTGAGTTTTTGGCCAAATGCACTAGATGCTTTACATACGTACTAGACACTTCACCCGTACCCAGGTCTATGTATCACTGCCCATAAGGCCCTCCCCGGTTCGATGCATGAATTAAGAAACCTCCTGTAACTTTAGGAAGAAATCCCATATCCTCCACAAGTGAGAGCAAATGCGATCAATTTTTTCCAGTTTCCATACAATGTAATGTGATGGACGTGTTGATCTGAAGAGAAGTTTGGTTTTCTAGAGTTTTCCTCAGATTTCAATAGGAATTAATTCTTAAGATTTTGTTGATTAAATGAAGTTACTAAAATATTTTTTTGGAAGGAAAATAATTTTCTAACTGACCTAATAAAAAAATTTATATATATTTTGAAAATGTGCCACTTTTAACTAATTTTGTTATTTTACTTATGGATTTATGTTGATTCTTGGTGAATGCCTTGGTTATAAGATGAAATCATTTATGTAGCCTGCTATGGATTGGAACTACATCTAATTTTGCATTTGTGGATTCCCAACTTTTAGATATTGATCTTGGAATCTTATGTTTTATATTTATGATCAACTAAATGTATTTTTTTTTTTTGGTACTATTTGTGGTTGCTAGAGTCACCAGAGCTTTCACTTTTGATCCAGAACATAGGCAACGAAACTCTTACAATCAATATTATGGCTCCAAATTTTGTGAGGCTGGAACAAAACATAGTTCAACTCAAGAAGCAAGACGACAGAGAGGTAATATATATCTATAGTTTGATTCACCCATTAATGACCTGCAGTGCTCTACTATATTCATATGGTTGAATGAATATGTTGTATCCATATATTGCATAATTGGTAAAGTTGGAATGATAGTTTTTAATGAGTTGAAACAGAGAGCCAAATTGAGCATACCTCCAAGTAATGTCCATATCAATATCATTTAATGGGCTTGAACATGTTATTATCAATTCTCGTAATAAGAATATATGTTTAAGGGAAGGTTAGAAAGAAAAAGTAGGGGCTACCATCCAATGCATAACCTGTAGAGAAGCCCTTTGACATGCTTCTGTTGCTTAAGTTTGAAATTTAAATAATTTTGATATTATTTCATCAAAATATTTCTGGACATTTATTGGAGGGTTTAGCTTTGTTACCCTAAGGTCTCTTCTAAAAGAAAAAACCATATGATTATTTAGGATTTTGAGTGCTGGATGTTGGTCATGGTTTTAGCGTGCGCCCACCCACACACACACACACACACACACACACACACAACAGTATCTGTATCTTACAAAATGCAAATCATTATCTTACACACACACATCAGTATCTTACAAATGCAAATCATTTTGAGCTGAAATTTTGTGTACATCATCTAGACTCGGTTACTTTCAGTTTTCACTGAAATCCAATGTATCATTGTTAAAAAAACAGCTTTTATAAGTCCCATTTTTTGCCACTTAAAAAATAGTAGCACAGAACGACTACGAGTTTAGAGAGAGAGAGCAACCAGCAAGTTGTGCTTTGGAGAGTCCTGGAAACCTTCCAGGGTCTCAGGACTGATGGAAATATGGCCTATCTTACAGTAGTCTCTCATTCAGTGGGAGCGATTGAGAGATTGAAATCTTGACGTGTTGCGAAATGGAGTCCAGATTCTTTTACCCCGAGTGTGCATGAGGCATCGACAGTTCACTTGTTGAGAAAGAAATTTCTCAAGGAGGTGTGAGGGTCACCTCCTAGTCAGGATTTTATAGGTTAGCCTCATGTTTAGCTACAATCGGCAAGGGCTTGGAGAATCCAAACAAGAAAAATAAAACCCGAGTAGTTATTGAGTATTCGCCCTGTGTGGAATGCTCAAGACTTATGGGACATAAGTCTGTATTATCCGAGTTTGGAAGCCACTCTTCCAAATGCATTATCTGAGTTTGGAACAGCCAGTGCATATTTACTTTGAGAGGACCCCTGTAATTGAGTTAGATCATGCCCCACAGGGGTACACCTGTAATCCATTGAGAGCCGAATAATTGGAAGTTTTGGCTCAGCGGCTTTGATATGACCAATTTTGTGTCTCTGCTTTAGACTATGGAACATATGTCTATTGGGTCGATCTGAGACTCGGCGGAACATCATTCGGGACTAGCCCAATGGAGTACTCCGATACCTATAGTTATTAGCTTGAGATCTCACTATACCATTTGTCCGATTTTATAATGATGAGAAAAACCTAATAATTACTAAAAAAATACTTTAAATATTTATTGTGAATTTTAGAGAATTTTTCAGAATTTTATTTGCTAAAAAAATGAGGGTTTCCAAATTGTTTGATTCAAATTCCACTTTAGTCCTGACTTGGTAGTGTCATGTAGCATCCGAGTGGCCATAGGGCTGCCACATAGTACCCCACGCCTCACTTTAGGATCACTGCCTAGCTGGGCACTGATCCCTAGGCGGGGGGCTAGATTGACATTTGGTTGCTTGTTTTATAAGGGGTTGTGTAATGGTGTCTTGTTATATATTGTTATATAATGTTATAAATTAAGGCCCCCTTTTTATTACATGTCTTAATTAACTTACACATGGGTCATGCATGGCATGTATGAAGTTTAATTAATTAATTTATTTGATATTAAAGAGAAAATGCATTTTCAAATTTGAGTTAAAAAATATCTTCACACACATGTGTGAGCTTTGCCAATTACTTCTTTGCTTGTTAGCCTTTGTGGTTATCTACTCTAATACATTATTAAAGAAACTAAGGGTATTTTTGTTAGGCCATATTAGATATATTGGAACAAAAACATGGGCCAAGGACAAAATGGTAAAGTGGCATAACTTAGGGTTAGGGTGAGTGATAATAGTATGAAATCTCATCCCTTCATCCTATTGGTTGGATGGGGATGGGTGGCTTGGTACATTAGCCTCTCATGTACCTTTAGATTAGTGCATCAAGGGTGTTGATTGAGTCCAAGGTTACACCCATGTTATAAAAGCACATCATGAGATCTCAAACCCTAACTATCTCAAATCTTGAACCATTTTGGAAAATTATTGCTCCCTTCATTCTTCTAAGGTTTTGTGAGAGAAAATTGAAGAGAGAGAGCTTTTAGAGTTTTATTAATGGTGATCTTGATGGTGGTCCTCCTTTTTTATGCTTAAGTCCATAGTGTGCATTTATTAAGATAAACTCCATTGAATTTTCTTTTCTCATAAGATCATATTCTTGGCATCTCTAGTTGCTGGAGTTTTGAATTTAAAAAAGCTTCATTGATCTTAGAATCCCCATTTGATCATCTTTTTTATCATGCTTATTCATAGTGTGGTCTTTCATGAGTTATAGCCTATATGCATTAGAATCCATGATCATGCATAGTATCCATTGATTACTTTGCTTCAAATCCATCAAATAATTTTGTGTCAAAGTGTCACTCAATTTTCAAAACTTTTTCGTCACGTTTTTACCTATAGGGGTTCATAATCTTTCCATACAAGACTGTTTTGGTAGTCTGAGGGACCACCGTGTGTAGATTGGGGTTCATAATCTTTCCATACAAGACTGTTTTGGTAGTCCGAGGGACCACCGTGTGTAGATTGTCTATAACTCTCTTGTTCTTTATCTGATTCGATTCAAACCTTTTGCATTCTATTTTAGATGATAATGCCAGTGTGTTGAGATCTTAAGAAGTGATTTTAAGGTGTGTAATTGCTTCCCATTGGATTAGACACTCTTGTGAGATTGAACCACTTTTGTTCAATCCGAAAGGACAAAGTTAAGTCCTTATAGGGCTCGATTGCGTGTCCCCAGCACAAGGGGTTCGAAACATGGCTTCCCTATTTTAATTTGACATTCTAATTCCCTGTTTAGTTGATTTTATTCCTTAGAATTTTGTTTAGATTAGTTGCATGATGTATTTAAGTTTTGGGACATAGTTTATTATTCCTTAGAATTTTGTTTAGATTAGTTGCATGATGTATTTAAGCTTTAGGACATAGTTTATGTAATTTATGCTATGAAAGTGTAATTCATAAGTTAGTCTTCCTTTATATGTAATTTCCCCATAAGGGGTTGGTATTTGAGTTTATTTACAGTGGTTATACAAGGCTAGAAATGGTTATAATTGTTATTTAAAGGATTGTAACTTATTCACTTAGCTTGGTTTTTAGCAAGAGCTTGTTGAAGTGTCCATTTTGCCTTGTTTTTCAGCTTGAAAATTTGCTCTAGTCTTTGTATCCACTATCAATTGGTATCAGATTGAGGTTCATTTACAACCTCTTGTAGGGTCTTTAGAGGATTATAGAATGCCAAATAGGAACCCATGGCAGCTCGTTCGATACTCACCGAATTGCTTAAGGAGGAGAGGTTCAATGGAACCGAATTCTCCGAATGGAGAAGGAAAATTGGTTATGTGTTTCATGAAGATGGTCTTTTGCCATTATTGACTTCTAGACCACCTAATCTGCCCGCAATCAATTCTCCTCAAGTTGTTAAGGATGCATATGAGACATGGCATAACAAAAACCAAAGTGCCATGAATATTATTTTTGCAACCATGAGTGATTCCTTTGTTAAGGAGTATGAGAATTCCGTATGTGTAAAAGATATTATGGAGAGCATGAAAAAGAAATACGACACACCGAATGAAGTTCAAAGAATCATTAGAATGAGGAATCTCATGTGTTGTAAAATGGATGATCACACCAAAGTGGGTGATCATCTTAAGAGAGTTCAAGAGTTGTATAAGAGAGAGTGAGAGAGCCGGTCACTCATATGATGAGGTGACACAAAAGATGATGTTTGTGCTTTCGATCTCACCCTCATAGGAGACCTTTGTGGCCAATTTGATGGCCAAAGATGCGCCTACAACAGTGGAGGAGATTGCATTTTTCATGGAAGGGGAAGAGCAAAGAATGATGGCAATGGATGGACCATCTTCCATGGTCCATATGCTAAAATCTCACCAACCCTCGTCATCTTCTAGTCCCTTACCCATTACTCCTATCTCTTCTTTTCTTCTTAACTCTTCTATGGTGAATACATGTAATGTGGGAGTGATAATGCTAAAAACAAGAAAAGAAAGGGAAAATGCAAATGGAAAGGGAAGGGGAAGCAAAAGGGAAAATCCTACTCCCTTTATCCATTTAGCCATTACCCTCTTAAAACCCATGCTTACCCACCAAACCATGCTAGCCCCATGCCTTTTAGGCCTAAACCACCACCCACACCCATGATGGTAGGTGGGAGGTCGGTTTGGCCCTCAAGCCAAGATTATTCGAAGGTACAATACGTTAGTTGCAAGAAATACGGACATACCTAAAAGTTTTGTAGGTATCCTCCTCCTTCACAAAACCCTCATTTTGCTCCTAAGCCCAATACCGGTAAGCCTCAAGCTAATACCGATGGAGGACCACGGAAACAGAGAGTTTACGTGGTCCATGAGACTTTAATTGCCAATGAGGAGGTGGATGTTTGGGTTCTTGACTCGGGGGCTACTATCCATGTGACAAATTCTATGAAGGGCTTTAGAAGGTTTTATGATGTAAAACCCGTACCCATAATCTTTATATGAGTGGAAATCAAATGGAAAAGGTCTTAAAAAAAGGGGACTATCTGTTGGAGCTCACTAATAGTGAGACTCTCATATATAAGAACACCCTCTATGCACCCGGGATGAGGAAGAATATCATCTCGATTTCCAAGATGAGTAAAGCCGGGTTTGTGCTCTTGTTCAAGGAGGAAAAGGTCTATGTGCATGATG